TGCTTCTGCTGCTTCTACTGCTACTACTGCTACTACTCCTACTACTACTACTACTCCTCCTCCTCCTCCTCCTCCTCCTCCTGCTGCTGCTGCTGCTGCTGCTGCTGCTGCTGCTGCTATTGCTACTGCTACTACTGCTACTGCTACTGCTACTGCCATTGCTACTGCTACTGCTACTGCTACTGCTACTGCTACTGCTACTGCTGCTACTACTGCTGCTGCTGACAACCGCTGCATCTTTCTCACCATGACGAGCACAATCGCCATCGTCATGAGCGGTACCATAGCAACCATTTCACTTGATCTTCACCGCCTTCCATCTCCGTTATCGACCCCATCAGCGTCGCCATCACCGCGGTCATCCCAACAATAACACCACCCACCACGTATACATTGCTGCCGTGCTGCCATTGCTGCATTGAAAACCTCCCGACGAACAAAACGAAGCGCAGGGCCGACCGGGGGATCCATTGTTGGGTTCGTCTTAAAACCTAGAAGTCATTTTCAGCTTCGCGAATGTTTTTTTTCGTACGTCGGGACACCTATTGTGGCAAGTTTTATGGTCTCTTAGCCGGTGCCCAGGTGCCCGGTCAGAGCGAAGAATAGATTTCACCGATCTGACAGGTCGTGAGCGCCGGGATCCGCGTGAAGAGGCGTGGAGCATGTAGTTGGACCTAAGGCGCCAATCCAAACTCGTTTTTACATGTGTTTGCTTACCCTCCGATGTTGGATTGCAGACATGTTCAGCAAAGTTGTATGGATACGATGCTCGTTTCTGGATTGGGGGTCGCGCGGCTTCGCAGGTCGTTGTCCGTAATAGAGTCTAAGATCTATCTGTCTTATCTTTGGTATCGTTCAAACTTCACCCCCTGAACTTGAAACCGGAAGAGGAAGACTCAAGTTCGTCGGTCCGGAAGAGGAAGACTCAAGTTCGTCGGTTCATCAGTGCATCTAAAGCATGTGTTGTGTATTTGTCTGGCTGAGACATAGTTGCTTTGTAAAGTAGAGTTCACGGCACATCCAAAAATTGAAAGTGCCATGCCCTAAACCTGTTCCAATGTTTCCGGCCGCCAACGGTTGCTGTTTTAGTCGTTGCTTGCAGGTGGCTCGTGAACTGACCCCAAATATTCTATGTTTTTAGGAAGAAGGGTACTAGTAATTTAGGACTGAATATAGGGCCTCCGTGTTCTGATTTCCTTGTAGAAGTCCTTAAAAAGGTGGGTTTTCTAGGGTCCAGGTCGGGTTTAGGCTCACCGTCCCATGGACAGCCGACGCCATCGCAAAGGCCCATTCAAGCTTAAGCTTCCCGTCTTTAGGGCCTCGGGTTTAGGGTTTGGGGCTCTATAGGCTTTATACTTCTGCACCGTTTGAAAGTCCATGCTTTCCGCTGCGGTTGCGCGCGGACTCGCCGCAGGATCGATCAAAGGCGACTCTTCGTCCACCTCGCGACAGGCAATTCTCGGCTTCACGTAGAGGATGAGACCTTGGGGTTTGGGATGTAGGGATGTGGGCTTAGGCTGTAGGGTTTAGAACTGGCGGTGGGTTGCACATGCAGAGACGGACGGAGCTAGTCACCCGGTGCCGAGTGCCACTGAGATAAAGCTTGCGCTGCTTTGGCCTTGCAGCTAAGGATTCATGCTCCAGTGTACTACCGAGATCCACCGTAGTCCGTACGTGATTCTGGTAAGATGTACTCCACAGGTGTGATTATTGAGCCCCTATAATCTGTGCCGATGTTATTTGCCGGGGTGTCTGTATAAGTGCAAGAGTGCGCAATGATGAACCTATATACTTTCTGGTTCGAAAGACTGGGTGGGCCCATTGCCGCATTGCCTGCGCTTTAATCCGGTGTTGACGGTTCAGAGTATAAAGGTCCGTTTTGTCACTTGCTAACAATAGAGGGGCTGTTCCTGGCTGTTCCTGTCCCTCAGAGTGCCGATGCTGAACAGGGATGAGCCAGAACGACCCGACCGAGCTTTTGCTGGTGGCGGGCACAGACTGGATCTTGTGAGCATTCCACCCTTGGGCCTGAACCCCAAGCCTTCAGCCGGAGAATCACACGGGATCGTTACTTAGAGCTTCGCGA